ATATATATACTTTGATGTACAAACGACCTAGAGAGAGAGAGAGAGAGAGAGAGAGAGAGAGAGAAAGAGAGAGAGAGAGGGAGAGAGAGCGCGGAAAAATAAAGAGCAACTAAGAAAGAAATTCAGATGGCGCTACTAAGGAACTTACTTATTTTGCGCGTGTGCACTCCATTTTGGGAAATACTAACATCAAAGGTGCCGACAGAGAGTTGCGCTACTGTATATACTGTGTCACTACTATCGAATTTGGAAGAGTTTTATCAGTAATACAGACGGCTTCGGCATCCCCTTAAGGGAATCCTAAAGCGAATTGAACTCCGACGAAGTCACCAGAGGTCGCACCGCGCGTCGCGCATCGACATGCCTTTATATACTACCACATTAATATCTCACGCAACCTATGATACACGCAGTTGCACATTCGTGTCAATTTTCGTATAACAAATTCGTCGCGATAAAACGTCTAAGTCTAATTCTAAGAACTCGACGTTGTTTGTTCGTGTAAACTACGTGTCTGGGAACCACTATTTCGTACGTACAGGTTGCAAAGCTTTCATATCAAACAAGTGTTGTCACGACTTGACAGCTGAGACGCCATGTTACACTAAGAAATAGTAAAAAACAAAAACAGAGAATGGACTGCGCAATCCAATCTAAGTAGTTTAGTATCGACAAAAACGAGAGAAAAGGACCCTGGAAGATAGCTAAGCTTTATCTCTTTCCACTTAATGATATAATGAGAGAGAGAATGAGAGGGAGATTGGCCGTCCATAATCCCTTTCTCTCATTTTTGTCGACTATACTACTTAGGCTGGTATTCATAGTTGATTCTTATTTCAAGACTGTCTTAAGTAATGTCTTAAGATGCTAATGCGGCTCTCTGATTGGTTCATAACTTCTTAAGATCGTACTTAAGAAGGCTTGAATATAAGATGTAACTATGAATATCGGCCTTAGATATCGCGCAGTCCATTTTCTATGTCTTTGGTAAAAAATATATCAATTTTGAAATTTTTTATCGTTCTCGACATAGACTCCACTTCCCAGACACATATAATGCGTATTTCAATCCTAGAAAAGGATTTTCGATGAAAGAGGAAAAAAGTATTTGTTATACAAAAATTATATGATTTAATCGATAAAACAGGTGGCTTTAGGATCTCTTTAAAACCTATTCTACAATGTGCTCTTTATTTCCTGTTTTTGTTATTTTTTCCTTTGCAACCATTTTATCGACAATTATATTTCTTGTTTCTTTTGAAGTTTATTAATTTTTATCTCGGGTAATATAAAACAAAAAATCGGATAAAAAGCAAAAAAACAAGAAACAGGGGAATAAAAAGTACATTGTAGAACAGACTTACAGGAACCGGTACTTATCGAAGCCGGTAACATATAAAACTTATTTTCTAGATGCTAAACTTTTTTTTAGAAATAAAAAAAGACCGGTATTTGACCAGATGATCTTAATATTTAAAAAAAAAAAAAGAAATGCGCAGGACACGAATGACCCAGACGTGTGTATTAAAGGTTAATTAATTTGTCACATGGAAACGTGAAGTGCTTAAGCATTGTTTTTCAACGTCGTGATCGAAATTTATCGGTCACATTAAACAGTATAAAAACAACGAATTTGTGCAAGGTAAGCAATATAGAGAGAGAGAGAGAGAGAGAGAGAGAGAGAGAGAGAGAGTGGGGGGAGAGCAGGAGAGGGAGAGAAGAAGAAAAAGGGAGGGAGAGGAAGAGAGGGAAAAGGAAAGAGAGAAGGAGAGGGATTGATTGATTAATTGGTTTTATTAGCTACATTAAATATAATAATAATACTAATAATAATCTTTAATATTTATACTCAATAACATTTAATTTTCTACATTACATAAATTCTTATCTAATAATATTTTTGAATTTCACTAACCCTCTCTATCTAATATATGACACTAGCAAGCTCTGCAGTTTCTTGTTTTATTTCTTTTGATAAATTATTGTACATTTTAAACCTATCATGCAACAGCATTTTCTGTTCCTCTCTAATTTTTTTTACATCTACTTATAAGTATAATTCCTTTTTGTCTAGTTTATCCTCTTCCTTCCCTTTCTATTAACTCTATTTTATTTCTTAAATAACTCAGACATTGTCCGTTTACCATTTTACGTTTATGTACAAAGATACAAACATTGTATTTAATTCTTTCCTTTACACTAGACATAAAACACAATGTCTCAAGCATGTCTTCAATTCTTGTTCTGTTATTGTATCGTAATATTATTCTCATTCCCTTATTTTGCAGCTTTTGTAGATACTTCATATTACTATTACTTAAATTCAATAATATCGGTGAACAATATTCAAATAACGGAGCAATTATCGTCTTATATACAATCTCATATACGGTTAAGTTTTCACTAATTCGTCGAAATACCCCTAATTTTGATCCTATTTTTTTCCCAAGATAATAATAATTAACGTGTGCTGCAAAGTTAAGATTATTATAGAACCTAAATATTTAATTTCATTAACTACTTTTAATTCTGTGTTTTCTAATATATTACTTTCATATTGCTTTCCGATACTTTTTTTCTACGCCTTTGACTAACATAACGTTAGTTTCGTTTACATTTAATTGTAATCTATTAATTTTCAAACATCTCTCAATTTTTCCCATCTCATCATTAAGATTATCATTTATTTCTTGGCTCGAATAACTTGGTATATTGTATTAGTATATCATCTGCAAATAATCTAATTTCACGATTATCACTAACTCTCGTTAAATCATTTATATAGAGCAAAAACAAAAGTTCTAATATTGATCCTTGTTGAACTCCCACTTCATTGCAACAGGTTGTGAAAATTCCATTAAGTTTAACTCTTTGTGTTCTGTTCTCCAAATAATTCTTAAATCAACTAAATACCATCCTTTTTAATCTATATCACCCCATTTTCTGTATCAAAATATTTCTATTCAATAATTCAAATGTTTTTCTTAAATCTAAAAATACAATATAAATTCCTATCATCATTCTTTCACCTATTTTTTTTCAGTTTGATATTACCCATTATAGAACTCTCACATGAATGCCTCGATCTAAATCCTTTGTCTCTCTTTCAATAAACTATTACTCTCTAAATATTTTACTAGTCGATTGTGAACTATAATTTCAATTATTTTCTCGTAAATCGGTAATTTATTTATTGAGCTAAATTTTATAATTTTTTTCGTTCTTATTTTTGGTATGATATCAACTACTGTTACTTCTTTCTATTCACTAGGGAATATTTAACGTTTTATTCTTTAACGATTTATTTAGTACATAATATATCTTTACCTCTTTGCCGTTACTACCTTTTTCATAATTTTCACAGTTATTCCCTTCTGTGTGTACAATTTTTATTTTCTAGTTTATGAACTTCGATTTAATTCACCTACTTCAATTTCACTAAATACTTCAAATTTATTTTCGATATATTTATTCGTATTATTCATCGTATTATCATCTTCTACAATTCTTAATATGCTATCCGCAAAATATCTATTAATTATATTTGTCATCTCATGTATTTTTAATTATTGTATCACTAAACTGAATTTCTCTATATATAGTATCACTAAACGAGTTACCCTTTAGCATCTCCCTAAGCGATCCCCACATTTGTTTGGGATCATTTTTGTTTTTATTTAATTTTAATTCTAAATAATTTTTCTTAGCTTTTCTACATTTTTCAACCACCTTATTCTTCCATTTCTAATACAATTCCCAGTCATCCTTACTCTTATTTATTCATGCCAGTTTGTCTCATCTTGTTGTTTTTCCATTTGACGAATTATATCAGAAAACTATTGCTTTCCTTGCCTTATTTTTTAATATAATTTTTTTCCTAGATGCAACCACATCCAAACATTCTACTATCGCATTTATAGTTAAGTTCGCTATATCATTAACATTATTACCTTTTAACCTATTGCCAATCATTCTCATAAATTTTTCCACATCTATTTTTTTATAATCCCCACATACAATTATTCTGTTGTCTCTCTTTTTCACACTCACATCCCAGTGTAAAACAATTATTGAATAATCCGTTATTTTTTATTAATTTTTTACTGTTATCTCAACTTCCTCGTTAGTAATGACTAAATCATTTATCGTCTCTGAGGAACCAACGATGGGTGTGTTCCCTTTTTACTGGCAGTACAATCATCATGACGTCACAACAGTGCCGTCACAATTGCCGTTTCAAAATTACTGTGGTACTACCAGCATTACTGTAACGTCGTATTTCGGAACGGCTTTGCAGTAAACTGACAGTAGTGTAAACAGACATGGATAAACGTACTAAATTGTCAATAAATTTTGAACGAAAATAGCAGCGATTGTTCTTCTAAAGAAGATGAATTAATTATGAATTAATTATGGGATCACCAATTCAAGCAATTTAACCTCATGTTAAAAAATGGACACAGTTAATGAATACATATTCAGATGTGAAATTAAGAGTCATTTTCGGTAAAATATATGCATCTTCTGCAGTTAAATATAATGTATATATTTTTTATTTCCTGGATCGAATATTTCGACGCGTGCTTTGTGCTTCTTTAAGTGATGCCATATTGCATTGTAACTGCTTCACCTCGAAAACAGCAGTAATCGCAGTAGCAATATGACTATCATTTATGACGTAATTGAGGGAACTAGACGCTATCGCAGCGCTATGTAGTAATAGCGGAACAAGTTTTCAGTACTGCCAGTACTGGCAGTGATATCGAAACACATTCGATTCTTGTTGGTCCCATTACCAGTTGTTTCAGATCCACTGTTTTCATTATTCTCATTAACTTATTCGAGAGGGAGGAAGGGAGAGAGAGAAAGAGAGGATGGGAGAGGAGGAGAGGTAGAGGGAATAGAGAGGGGAGGAAGAGGGGAGGAAGAGGAGAGAGAGAGAGAGAGAGAGAGAGAGAGAGAGAGAGAGAGAGAGAGAGAGAGAGAGCGTGCCTTTATTATGTGGAACGGAATAACTGTATGGCTTAGACAGCTGATTACAACAAGTGATCGCTCGGTCGGTCCTACTTATTTTCTATAAGGCCAATGATTCGCTAACTTTATGCTTTAATAATTCAGAAAGTAAGCGTTGAATAAAATTTTCGTAAAGGAAAAATCATCTCAGAATTCAATTAGAAACACGTTTTTGCAAGGACACGGGGTTATTCCGAATCCTTATAGGAGTGCACGACTCTCCGCATGAAATGAGATACTACATATACATATATTGAGGCGTATATTCCACGCGAAAGTTGTGCGCCCATGGCAGATCTCATTCCTCCCTCCCCTCTCCCCCGCCCTTCTCTGTTTAGAGTCATTAATGCAAAGTGGGGAAATAATTATTGATTTTGATTGTTAATGACTTTTTAATGAAGTATAAGTGCCGACAAAAACTTATTTCTCAGAAACTCAGAATCATGACATTGATAACATACGTCATTGAGAGTTGCTCCCTTTTTTTTGTTTTTAATTTTTTTGTCTTTAATTTATTACTAAAAAATTAAATTAAATTTATTCACTTCTATGTTTATTACAATAACGATGATAATCGATGTTGTAATAATTATACAAGAAAAGTCAAGAAATATACTTTAAAATTTCGTAAATTGTACTTTTCATGGCTAAATTTTATTTTTTATTCAAGATATTAAAATAAATGTTAATTTTAATTTAAATATCCAAGAACACAAATCGAATGAACAGAAAAGAAACTTTTAATTGAAAAATTCAATCAATACAATAATGTTTACACCATAGTGAATAATTACTGTTTCGCTCTCTATCTCTCTCTCTCTCTCTCTCTCTCTCTCTCTCTCTCTCTCTCTCTTCTCTCCTTTTCATTGACTCCTAAACAATTTTTTCTGAATATCTTGGCATAATCGCTATTTTGTGTTTAGTAACATATCGCGACTCTGTGTGGATATAATGGCACTTCAAAAAAGATCAGACAATTGGATTTGGAAACATGTTCTTAAATTAGACGATTCTATTATACAATGCAATATAGATAATTGTAAGAAAACTTATACAATGATTAACAAAGGTGAATATAGAGTGATAATGACGATGAAAGGACATTTATATCATGAACATGGAAAATACGATGAACAAGATCGATTAAAATGGTTAAATGATAATGATTTGATATGGCGATATTTCGACAAAGCAAACTTATATACAGCAAATTGTAAGCTTTGTGGTGGTTTATTTCGTCAATCATATGTACCACTTATAAAGTCGCATCTGCAAAGTCATCGTCAAGAAATAAGAGCTGATGTTCAAAAAGAAATTGCGGATAACTCTCTATCGCAATATTATATAATCAATATGGAAGATTTTATTGCACGGTGCAAACGTTGCAATGATAAAATGGACATATTTTACGGGATAGATGCCTTAACGCATCACACTTGTTTAAAAAAGACTCAATGTTTAAGGTCTAGACAAAAACCTGAAGATAATAATGTGAACAGAATGACACAACAGTCTACAACCACCGAAAATGCAAATACGAACTCCCATAATAATATAAATAGTCAGTCTGGAAATCGAGAAAATCAACAAAGGTAACTATTGTTTCATTTTTCTTAAGTTATTAATATATTATGTACATTTTAATACATATTAAAAATTTAGTGTATTACTTAATTCAATCTATTGTATTTACCTCAATGTTTATAATAACAGTGATGTTGTAGTAGCCTACAATAAAAAAATCAAGAAACATTTCCAAATATAAACTTGTATCAGTTTTTGATGTTAAATTTTATTTTCAAATTAAAATGTGTTAAATGTATAATATTAATCTTAATCTGATTGATTGGCAACAGAATAAGAAATTAACAACATGATTCTTAAAAAACTGATTCAATTAACAATCTTTACATATTAGTAAAAAATTATACGTTTTCCTCTCTCTTCTATCAATCTTTCCTAAACAACGTCTCTGAACATTTTCCTTGGCTTAATCAGTATTTCATATTTAGTGACACATCGCGACAATGTGTGGATGAAATGACAGCTCGAGAAAGATCAAATAATTGGGTGTGGAAACATTTACTTAAATTAGACGATTCTACTGTACAGTGCAATATAGATAATTGTAATAAAACTTATAATACGACTTTTGATAGAAGTAAAGGTAGAATGATAGTAATAATAAAAGGACATTTATATCATGAGCATGGAAAATATGATGAAGAAGATCGGTTAAAATGGGAAAACGATAATGATTTAATATGGCGATATTTCGATAAAGAAGGTTTATACAAAGAAAAATGTAAATTTTGTTACGATTCACTTTCCGTATCATATACACCATCGTTAAGGGATCATCTACGACAATACCATCGTCAAAAAATAAGAGCTGGTGTACGAAAAGAAATTGCGGATAAGTCTTTATCGCAACATTTCGAAATTCATGAGAAAGAATTTTATGCATCGTGCAAACGTTGCAATCATAAAATGGATATATTTTATGGAACAGATGCTTTAACACATCACATTTGTTTAAAAAAGAATCGTTTAAAGTTTGAACAAAAATCTGAAGATAATAATGTGAACAAAATGACACAACAGTCTACAGTCACTGAAAATACAAATACAAGCTCCCATCATGATGATATAAATAATCAACCTAGAAATCGAGAAAATCAACAAAGGTAACTGTTAATGTTCACTTTTCTTGAATTATTAATATATTATGTATATTTTAATACATATTAAAAATTTAGTATATTATTTAGTTCAATTTATTTATCTCAACGGTTATTACAATAACGGCGATGTTGTAGTACCCTACAGTAAAAAAATATTTCAAGATATTTTATCAAGAAATATTTTCAAATATAAGCTTGTACCAATTTTCGATGTTAAATTTTATTTTCAAATCAAAATGTCAAATATATAATATTAATCTTAATCTGACAACAATAAGTAGGAATTAACAACATGATTCTTAAAAAACTGAAAAATTCAAGCAATAATCTTTACATTAGTGAAAAATTATACGTAATATAATAATAATATATATAATAAATATTATTATATTAAATTATTTACTCTCTCTTCTATCATCAACCTTTCCTAAACAACGTCTCTGAACATTTTCCTTGGCTTGATCGGTATTTCATATTTAGTGACACATCGGGACACTGTGCGGATGTAATGGCAGCTCGAGAAACATCAAACAATTGGGTGTGGAAACATTTACTTAAATTAAACGATTCTACTGTACAGTGCAATATAGATAATTGTGATAAAACTTATACGACTTTTGATAGAAATAAAGGTAGACTAACAATGATGATAAAAGGACATTTATACCATGAGCATGAAAAATACGATGAAGAAGATCGATTAAAATGGGAAAACGACAATGACTTAATATGGCGATATTTCGACAAAGTAGGTTTATACAAAGAAAAATGTAAATTTTGTAAAGATACACTTTTCATATCATATATACCATCGTTAAGGCATCATCTGCGACAGTACCATCGTCAAAAAATAAGAGCTGATATACTAAAAGAAATTTCGGATAAGTCTCTATCGCAATATTTCGAAATTCATGAGAAAGAATTTAATGCACGGTGCAAATGTTGCAATGTTGAAAAGAACATATTTTTCGGAATAGATGCCTTAATACATCACATGCAAGAAAATCAATGTGTAAGGTATCTTAACGAAGAACTTGAAGATAATAACACAATGACACAATCTATAGCCAATGAAAATACAAGTTCCCATGATAATTTAAATAGACAAGCTCTTGGAAATCGAGAAGATCAACAAAGGTAACTGTTATGTAATTAAAATGTTAATGTTTCACTTTTTTTAAATTATTAATATATTACGTATACTTTAATACATATACAAAATTTAGTATATTATTTAATTCTATTTACCTTAACGTTTATTACAATAACTGTGATAAACGATGTTGTTGTAGTCTACAGTAAAAAGTCAAGAAATATTTCCAAATATAAACTTGTATCAATTTTCAATGTTAAACTTCATTTTCAAGTCAAGGTGTGTAAAATATATAGTAATATATTAATCTTAATCTGATTGATTGACAACAGAAATCGAACAAGTAGGAATTAGACAATATTCTTAACTGAAAGATTCAATCAATAATCTTTACATATTAGTGAAAAATTATGTTTTACTCTCTCTCTCTTATCATCAACCTTTTCTAAATAACTTCTTTAAATATTTTCCTTGGTTTGATTGATATTTCATATTTAGTGATACATCGCGATGTTGTACGGATGTAATGGCAGCTCTAGAAGGATCAAACAAGTGGGTGTGGAATCATGTTCTTAAATTAGACAATTTTACTGTACAGTGCAATATAGATGGTTGTGATCAAATTTATATAAATCGAAATAGAAAGCTTATAAATAGAATGATAACAACGATAAAGGAACATTTATACCATAAGCATGAAATATGGAATGAAGAAGATCGCTTAAAATGGGTAAATAACAATGATTTGATATGGCGATACTTTGACAAAGTAGACTTATACAAAGAAAAATGTAAATTTTGTAACATTTCACTTCATCAAGCACATATACCATTTATAAAAAAGCATCTGCAAAGACATCATCAAGAAATAATAACTATTGTACGAAAAGAAATTGCGGATAAGTCTCTATCGCAAGATTTTGAAATAGATGAAAAAGAATTTAGCGCATTGTGTAAATATTGCAGTGTTAAAAAGAACATATTTTACGGAACAGATGTCTTAACACACATTTGTTCAAAAAAAAATCAATGTTTAAAATCAATGTCTCGACAAAAATCTAAACATAACAATGCAAATAGAAAAACACAACCACGGACACAACAATCTATAGCCACTGAAAATGCAATTACAAGCTCCCATCATGATGATATAAATAAGCAAGTTCCTCGAAATCAAGATCAACAAAGGTAATTATTATTATATAATAAAAATATTAATGTTTTTTTTTCTTAAGTTATAAATACATAATGTATATTTTAAGTACATTATAAATTAATATATTATTTAATTTACTTCATCATTTCGCAATCAATAAAATACTTAATTGTAAAAAATAATAAATAAAATGCCAATTTGAGCCAACATTGATTATTCATGTGTATACTATACCATTTCAAAGTGAATATTATAACATATATGTTTCGACCTACGATCAAAATCCTCTTCAATACAAAGAAATTTCCTTAAATTATTAATTATAAAATTGCAGAATGATAGTGCATACGAATATAAAACTATTAACGTAATATAAAATACGAAAAAAACTGTGGTAGTGATATCCGAGTTAATCTTGGTCATCAAATTACTAAGTTTATTAAAAAGAAAAAGATTTTTTATTTTGAATCAACTGTCGAAATAAAAAATATTTCAAATTGCTAACATGAAATTATCCGCACAAAATATATAATATAAAATATATAATATAATATAATATAATAGACTTATATGACTGTCATGGTTGAACTGTTTATTAAGATATATTGTACATATTGTTCTATTAGATTGTTCCATTTACTGTAGTACAATTATGAATAAATTAAAAAGTTAATATAATAAATAATAGTTAAAATCAAACTTTAGTTCACTTACATGAAACAACTTAACAACTCTTAATTTGTTTCATGTAAGTGAACTAAAGTTTTATTTTAACTATTATTTATATTAACTTTTTAATTACCTTGACCTCGAAACGTATACGTTATAACTATAATTTACTTTGAATAAATGGTATAATATACACACGAATAATCAATGTTGGCTCAAATTGGCATTTTATTTATTATTTTTTAGATTTTTCTTTTAGAGCCTATTGATTACTTATACTTAATTGTAAGTTGCAATAATTGCAACAATTACACTATATTAATTAAGCGTATTTTATAGCAACAGGAATAAAGCCCGATTGCACCAATGTTACTTTGACTTTAAGCAAGACTTAAAACTCTCTCTGTCTCTGTCTCTCTTTCGCTTTAAAACGAGATGAAGAAAGTTTTAAGTATTACTTAAAGTCAAAGTAACATTAGTACAACCGGACCTTAATGATTTAAAATCTCACTGTCAATATTATATAAATGAAAATTCAAGGAATGAAGAAGAAGCTGCAGAAAATGCAATTACAAGCTCCCATCGTGATGATATAAATAGGCAAGTTCCTCGAAATCAAGACCAACAAAGGTAACTGTTATGTAATAAAAATATTAATGTTTTTTTTTCTTAAGTTATAAATACATAATATATACTTTAAATACATTACAAATTTAGTATATTACTTAATTTATTTAAATGTTTCACAATCGATAAAATACTTAATTGTAAGTTGCAGCAATAGTTGCAGCAATTACATTATATATTAGTTAGCGTATTTTATAGCAACACATAAAATAATAAATGACTTAAGATCTCATTGTCAATATCATATAAATGGAAATTTAAGGTATGAAGAAGGAGCTGCAGATGAAAATGCAATTACAAGCTCCCATCATGATGATATAAATAGGCAAACTCCTCGAAATCAAGATCAACAAAGGTAAATGTTCTGTAATAAAAATATTAATATTTTTTTTCTTAAGTTATAAATACATAATATATATTTTAAGTACATTACAAATTTAGTATATTACTTAATTTACTTAAACATTTCGCAATTGATAAAACACTTGTAGTTGTAAGTTGCAATAATTGCAGCAATTGCACTATGTAATTTTGAGTCAAACATTTAACAAATGTGATTTAAATGTTGTATTTACTAATTAAATATTGACTAAATTAAATAATAAATATATATATCAAGTTCTGAAGGAATTAACATCGATGACACGGTACAATTCCTTGATTACAATCATGGAAGTACATATTGCTACGTTCTTGGAAATCAAGATGGTCCACAAAGGTAAACGATATTAATATCAATATATTTTATTCTTTTTGAAATATTAGTATATTCTATTATATATAATTAACGCAAATATATTGAACAATTAACATTTAAATATATAGACTTCATAAATTTGAGTCAAACATTTAATAAATATAATTTCAATGTTATATTTATATTCAATTTAAGTAATATTTACTAATGAACATGCGTCAAGTTCGGAAGAAAATAACACGGATAACATAGTATTCCTTGCTGATGTTTCGGATGCAAGTTCTCATAATGACAGTACAAACTGGCAAGGTCTTGGATATCAAATAGATCAACAGAGGTACGTGTTACTAATTTAATGTCAAGTGTTACTATCAAAATTCGTGACTCAAAAATTTTATGATAAAAAAATTAATTAACTGTCAATATCTGTACGAATGGGTATTCAAAATTTCAAGAAAGAACTAATGTTAAAATAATATAATGTATATAGAATGATGCATCAGCCCGTAGCAGCAGTAAATATGACTACAAGTTATCACGAAGAAAGTACATATTGGTACGTTCTTGGAAATTAAGATGATTTCAATGTTATATTTATATCCAACTTAAGTAATATTAACTAATGAATATATATTAAGTTCTGAAGAAAATAATACGAATAACACGAATAACATAGTATTCCTTGCTCATGATGTTTCGGATGTAAGTTCTCATTATGACGGTACAAACTGGCAAGGTCTTGGATATCAAATAGATCAACAGAGGTACGTAACTCAATAAAGGTAAATAATACTAATATCGATATATTTTATTCTTCTTGAAATATGAGTATATTCTATTATATATACTTAATGCAAATATATTGAACAATTAACATTTAAATATATAAACTTCATAAATTTGAGTCAAATATTTAATAAATATAATTTCAATATTATATCTATATTCAATTTTAAGTAAGATTTACTAATAAATATATATCAAGTTCTGAAGAAAATAACACGAATAACATAGTATTCCTTGGCCATGATGTTTCGGATGTAAGTTCTCAAAATGATGCTATAAACTGGCAAAGTCTTGGATATCAAACAGATCAACAGAGGTACGTAAATCAACAAAGATAAATAATACTAATATCGATATATTTTAGTGTTTTTGAAATATTAGTATATTCTATTGTATATAATTAATACAAATATATTGAACAATTAACATTTAAATATATAGACTTAAATTTGAAAAACATTTAATATAATTTCAATGTTATATTTATATTCAATTTAAGTAATATTTATTAATGAATATATATATCAAGTTCTGAAGAAAATAACACGAATAACATAGTATTCCTTGGTCATGATGTTTCGGATGTAAATTCTCATTATGACGGTACAAATTGGCAAGGTCTTGGATATCAAATAGATCAACAGAAGTATGTAAATCAACAAAGATAAATAATATTAATATCGATATATTTTATTTTTCTTGAAATATCAGTATATTCTATTATATATAATTAATGCAAATATATTTAACAGTTAACATTTAAATATATAGGCTTCATAAATTTGAGTCAAACATTTAATAAATATAATTTCAATGTTATTTATATTCAATTTAAATAATATTTACTAATGAAAAAAAAAATATATATATATATATATATCAAGTTCTGAAGAAAATAACACGGATAACATAGTATTCCTTGGTCACGATGTTTCGGATGTAAGTTCTCATTATGATGGTACAAATTGGCAAGGTCTTGGATATCAAGTAGATCAACAGAGGTACGTAAATTAACAGATAAATAATACTTATATCGATATGTTTTATTCTTCTTGAAATATCAGTATATTCTATTATATATAATTAACGCAAATATATTGAACAATTAACATTTAAATATATAGGCTTCATAAATTTGAGTTAAAACTTTTAATAAATATAATTTCAATGTTATATTTATATTCAATTTAAATAATATTTTCTAACGAATATATATCAAGTTCTGAAGAAAATAACACGAATAACATAGTATTCCTTGGTCATGATGTTTCGGATGTAAGTTCTCATAATGATAATACAAACTGGCAAGGTCTTGGATATCAAATAAAAATAGATCAACAGAGGTACGTAAATCAACAAAGGTAAATAATACTAACATCGATATATGATATTTTATTCTTCTTGAAATATTAATATATTCTGTTATATATAATTAATGCAAATATATTGAACAATTAATATTTAAATATATAGACTTCATAAATTTGAGTCAAACATTTAATAAATATAATTTCAATGTTATATTTATATTCAATTTAAGTAATATTTTCTAAATGAATATATATATCAAGTTCTGAAGAAAATAGCACGAATAACATAGTATTCCTTGGTCATGATGTTTCGGATGTAAGTTCTCATTATGACGGTACAAACTGGCAAGGACTGGGATATCAAATAGATCAACAGAGGTACGTAAATCAATAAAGGTCAAAAATACTAATATCGATATATTTTATTCTTCTTGAAATATCAATGTATTCTATTATATATAATTAACGTAAATATATTGAACAATTAACATTTAAATATAGAAACTTCATAAATTTGAGTCAAACATTTAATAAATATAATTTAAATGTTATATTTATATTATATTTTTATATTTCAACTTAAGTAATATTTACTAATGAATATATATCAAGTTCTGAAGGAAATAACACGAATAGCATAGTATTCCTTGCTCATGATGTTTCGGATGTAAATTCTCCTCATGACGGTACAAACTGGCAAACTCTTGGATATCAAGAAGATCAACAGAGGTATATGTTATTATTTCAATATGTCAAATATTACTGTGTGATACCAGTAATATCAAAATTCGTGATCCAAAGTTTTATAATAAGAAAGCTCTCGAAATATTAAGTAGCTAGTCGCAATGGCAGCTACTTATTTCAAGATTTCGAAAAGGAACTAACGTTAATAACATGTAACAGAATGATGCATCAATTCGTGGCAGCAGGAAATGTGGCTACAAATTTTCATAATGACGATACAAATTGGCAAGCTGTTGGATATCTAGTAGATCAGCAGAGGTATGTGTTATTATTTCAATATGTTAGGTATTACTCATATCAAAGAGAGGGAGGGGAGGTGAGAGAGAGAGAGAGAGAGAGA